ATGACATGAGAAGGTTCTATTTGTCCATTAAATTCCACAGGGTCCTGCTCCCCAAAAGATGTTCTCATCCAGGCACTGAATGGCAGTTTTGAGCTCGCCAAGGTCTCCTCTGCACACCCAGCTGGACCCGGACAGTGAGAGTGCAGCCACATTGCCACGAAGGCCCTTGAACCGCAGGGCAGATGTGAATTTCAAGGAAGGCTAGGCCCTTTACCATATCGCATTCTGCGGCGGGAGGTCGTTAAAAGCAGCAATCGACTAAATAACTTCTTTTTTGAGACTACCAGCAACATTGAAGCCAAAGGAACGGGGTTCCGTAATCCATTTTGTGTGCTTGGAATGAGCGTGAATTCCCAGATCTTTATCGGAGATTCTGCCAAAGATCGTGATTATCAACGACCTCTCGGGGCGGTGGAGTATGCACACTCTCTGGTTAACGCAGTCCACTCTGGATATGAACAACTTTTGGGAAAGCAAAGCTATGTAAAAATTCAATGGAAACGTCAGCCCAACTCATATCATCTATGGGAAAATTCTACTTCTACCAGTCCTTAATCAATTTAAATGAAATTGGGTGAATACATAAGAGTCAAACAATTTTAGAAGACGATTCATATATCGGAATTTGAGAATTTTGTATAGCCACTGCATTACCCGGGAACCGACATATTGAGTTCGGCCAGCTATTGGGAAGCTACCGTCCCGCTCGATGCAACCACTAGGGGTTTGTACGAAATGTGAGCTCCGCTTAGAAACTTTTGACTTTCATACTACCAAAGGAAAGCACTATAAGCAACATCATCACCATGCTTGACCTGTTCGAGAATTAGGTGGTTGCTTTAATCTGAAGTAGTTCTTTGTTTCGTGACCATAGTGACTACTAGAAGAGGGAGTTGTGCAGAGCTAATCAAGATGCACCCTACTCACGTTTGATGCGCAAAAAACCACGATAAATCAAAGCAGGAATTAGCCTGCGAGCTGTTTTACGGGGCGACTCATCTATGGACAAATATACCTGGTCTCTTTTTGGCTTATCCATGCAGCTGCGTACGAAAACGGATACGAGAATAGCCTCAAGACTGATCGCAGCGGCCTCCTACCCATCTAAAATAGATTTTCCCTGGAGCAACTAATTGGCAAAAAGCCAGATCAACTCATTCAGACTTATTTAGAGGATGGAAATGCAGTAGATATTGAAACTGCCCTTTTGCGCCTTAGTATTAACGAAAACATTTATGCCCGTCATCAGGCGTCGTCTGCAAGTCGATTTCTTCAGGATGGAAGTCCTTTTGAATGATAGTCAAGACGCCCTGGTCCATTCATTCTATTCGGTTTGCCTTTAGAGAAGCCGTGTCAGGAAGACATCTTTCATTGGCACCAGACTCGGCCTCGACGGAAATTTCCCTACCACTGCAAGACGCATAGCTACTGAGATCGGTCTGTCGGCCAGTGTCTACACTAGGCCGCCATGCTTACGGAAGATGGGCTCGACCCGAGGCAGGATTTGGCGCCAGCGGGGCAGACCTGTCTCAACGAGTACCGATCGCGAGGGCGAGCATAGTCTGCGGTCAGACAAAGGTGTCTGTTCCTAAGCGCCCGATCGGCAATTCAGTGGAGCCTCGAGACTAGCGGACTTGAACACCGACCCTGTTCGAGTGTAAACAGGCTTCTCCGGTGTAACCCGCGTCGAGTCAATCTGGCGAAAATTGGAGCTCGGCAGTGCTGGTATGCATAGATGCCAAGAAAATCGGCTCAACAGAGTGGCACAACTAAGAGAAGCAGCCTACGCAAGTGGACACAACTGTCCGAAGAAGACAGAAAAGAAAGGAAAGCACGACCGGAGCTGAATGCTCAACCCGATATTGTAAGCCCGAGCTATCCCAGCTCTGGCGAGGTCACGATGTGTTCTGCGGCTGAGACCACGTGAGACGGCCACATAAATAGAGAAGACGGTAGAAACGTACACTCCAACCATCCTCTTGGGGCTGTCAATGCTCCAAATTGGGCAAGACGGAAAGGGTGGCCAAAACAACCAATACGGACCTGCCGTCAAACCAGAGGAAAACATGAAACGACCGGCGTTAGCGCCGACCGTCCATCCAGTCAGTCGTTCACAAAGTTGCATACAAAAAGGAGGTAAACGTGCTCTCGGTGTCGAGGTAACTTGCCAACGGATGATCTGACGATTTCGTGTCCGAGGTGGAATTTTTCAGAGGATTCTATAAAGTTGTCGTCATAGATGACATGGCCAGTTGCTGCG